TGTGGGTCTGTCCCGGGAGAGACTGGGCTCGGTAATGATGAGTGAGAAGAGCTTTACTGCCTGACTCTGATCAATGCTGTGATCCCTGAGGTCTTCTTTTGGCTGTGCGAGCGCTGGCTCTATTGTGCAGCAGATAAGGCTTTAGATGCTAATTGGTTTCCCAGTGTGCGGAGGCAGGGGTGGAGGGGGGGGGTTTGGAGGCGAAGAGGAGGAGGGGGGGGGGATTCTGTCCGAGCGCAACCTTGGAACATGGCCTTAACCCCTTCCGTGTTGCGTCCGGGTCTGTAAAAATCCTGGCATTTGATACAGCGCTTTATAATGTCTTCGAGACATCTCAAAGCGCTTCACGGGATACACTGTAACGTGAATTGACTGTGTATTTTGGGGCGAAACGCGGAAGCCGATTTGCGCTCGACAGCGTCCCCCGCAAACAGCCGTGGATTGAGTGACCAAATTATTATTTATTTTGAAGGGATTATTCCCCCCGGAAAAGCGATCCACCAATCGACTAACAACCGGGTTCCTACTGACTGCCGGTAAATAGAGGCGCGTGTGTGTGTGTGTGTAAAGAAACCTGCCCAACTTTTCGCCCTGACCCGCCCGGGAATCGAACCCGGGTCCTTTTGCGAGCGCTCTAACCATATATATATATATCATCTGAGAAGAATAATACCAATATTTGGGGAGTAGTGGGGGGAGAGGGGAGGGGATGGGTGGGGGGCGGTGTGAGCAGGTGGAAGAGAGAAAAAAAGAGATGGAAAGTTGAATTAAAATTTAATTTAAAAAATAGGCGGCAGTGGCACAGACACGATGGGCCGAATGGCCTCCTCGTGCTCCTGCTGTTGTTTTTCCCGTTTGTGGGACGTCTTAGAGGTCATAGAATCATCGAATTACACAGCACAGAAGGGGATCTACAATTCGACCCGTCCTGTCCTGTCCGTGATGGCTCTCTGTCCAAATCAATCCCACTCCCCCGCGCGCTCTCTCTACCCCACAGCCCTGCAAACTTCTCCTCCCCCTCCCCTTCTCCCTTGATAGTTATTATCGAAGTCCAGGAGAGAAAAAGAACGGGAACTCAGTCAGATTTGGCAGCTTGGGGAGAGCATCATTGCAAGGGGCGAGCTCTTGGCTTTGTTAATTGAGAGCCAGGTATCCCGTCTGTGGATAATGATCTAAGGGAACCTTAATGGCTACAGCCGACCATCTCCGGAGGCCACATCAGAGAGACCAAAGGCGAGGTGTTGAGTAAAGCTCTTAACGTCTGGTCTGCACTCGGACTTTATCCGGCAGCTGACGTTTGACCGAGGGAAACCTCACATTTCCTGCGTGGGGGTAAAGCGCTCCCACCGGTTCCTTGATGCTTTGGTGTGCGTGTGTGTGTGTGTGTGATTGAGACACCTCTAATGTCTTCACGTCAGACCTGACCCTGACCGTCCAGGGCTACAGCTGTAACCTCCGAGCAACAACAATAACAGAAACTTGCATGTACACAGCGTCACCCCCCCCAATCCCCCCCAACCGTCACGCAGGCCAGCACTTGGCGGACAGTGATGGAGCCAGGGGAAAGGTGACCGCAGGCACGGTCGAACGGGAAGGTCTTCTGGCCTGACCTGAAATCGGGGAGGGAAGGGAAGGAAGGAAGAAAGTGGGCAAGGCGGCGGGATAGAGCAAGAGTGACCCAGAGCTTCGGGCTGAGATTTTTCCTCCACAACACAGTTGTTAGCCGGTCGGCGCATTGCTTTCCGAGGGGACGATAATCCCTTGAGAAAATAAATGGTAATAATAATAAATTGGTCACTCGATCCGCGCCCGTCTGCGGGACACCTTGAGACGTCTCGAAGACGTGATGAGGCGCTACATCACATGCGAGGATTATTATTATTATTATTATTATCATCATTATTATTAATATTGCTCATGGCCTGTTTCCGCGACCGCACAGTGGCCCGTTTCCGGGCTGTGGCTTTCCACACAGCTACGCGCCGGGAATGCTAATGCAGAGCACATTTTCTGCGGAGATTCCAGCAGGGACAGGATTTTGAAGCCCCAGTTAGCGACGAGGTTTGACAGGGTGGAAGGATAAACACAGTAGCAAGCAGGGCCCTCTTCAAACAAGTGCGTGCATTCAGCAATCAAGACAAATGCCTTCGCCAAGTCAATTAAAACAGCTGAATTATTGATCTTTCCTCCCAGTGTTAACACCGGCTACAAAGAAACTCTGCCCTCAGAAGCGATATCTCGTGGCCTGATTAATCACTCGAAGCGCTGATAATTAAACCGTTGTTTTGCTTGACAGTCAATAAATTAACGAGTTTAATTCCTGGCCGTTTCAAGAAGTTCAAGCTCCCATTTCTTCCCCCCCCACCCACCCACCCCCCCCCCCCCGCGCCCCACCGCCGCCGCCCCGCCGCCCGCCCCACATATACGCCGCCAGACGATTACATTAGAAATGATAACAGTGCTCCATTAAAACAGAATGAACTGCGTAGTTTGTGGATGAATTGTATCGTAAAGCTCATCGTTTCGATGGGAAACGAAAGCCTTCACTTGACGCTGTAGTATTTTGTCCACAAAATCCACAGTCACTCCACTTAACAGTACCCTCTGCGAAGCGCTTTGAGGCGTCTCGAAGACGCGATAAGGCGCTCCATCAGACGCCAGGATTATTTTTATCACCGCCCACCCCCCCACCACCACACCCCATCCTCCCTTCACCCCCCCTCCCCGGTTCTTTGTTGTGAGCGAGAGATCAGCAGAAAAACTTATACACTTTACTTTTTATTTTTGTTTTTTTTTGTGGGGGGAGGGAGGGGTGAGGGGGGGTGGGGGTGGGGGTGGGTGGGAGTTTAAAAAAAGAGAGGAAAGAAAAACATTTCAGCAAAGGAGGGGAGGAGAAAAAATTACATTAAGTGCCACCCCCCCTCCCCAGCCCCCCACCCCCTCCCCCCACACACAGACACACACACACACACGCACACACACGCACACACACATGTCCAACGCTGGATCAGTCATTGAGGGTCAAGAAGGTGGGGTGAATGTGTGCGGTGGTCCATAACTCCCCGTAACCCCAACCACAAACACATCCAAATCAAACACACAACAGAGAGAGAATGTGGGGGGCGCAGGCGGTGGGTGGGGGGGGGGTGGTGGGTGGGTGGGTGGGTGGGGTAATGGGGCAAGGGGGTGGGTGGGGAAGGAGGAACCACAATAAAGTGTGACGAAGCGAGGGTCCTTATTCTTACAGGAATAAACCCCGAATGGGGCAAAGTTGTCCCTTTCGATCCACACCGCAATTTTAACATTATAAACAGTTCAAACACAATTGGATTATTATAAATATTCAGCTACAGATTTACCCTCTTCCCTTCTCCCTCCTCCCGCACTCTCTCCCTATCTCTCTCTCTCTCCCTCTCTCTCTCTCCTCTCTCCCGTCTCTCCCCCAAAGCGTATTTAAACCGCGAACTAAAAAAAAAAACACATCAAAGCGAGTACTTTTTTGAGTCAAAAGCGATGCGGGGGAGCTGGCCGGCTGCCCGACAAGTGCGTGGGGATGGGAGCGAGTGAGCCACTCCTGGGCTGAAGAGATGGACTTAAAGAAAGGTGCTATGATAGAGTAAGATCTTTTCACTACAGAGACTCAGTCGTCAGGGCTCGATTTCCAAGAGAAAATACCTTCACAATTTTCTATCCTTTTGACATTTTTTCAGATATATATATTTATATATATATATATATATACGTATGCATAGAAACGCACTCTTAATACAATAAGTTACGGGCTCAGTCTCGCTGTTTGGAAGCGATAGTGTCCCCCAAGGCAGAGCAGGGAGGGGACGGGAGGAACGCAGGTGAGAGAGTGTGAGAATTTCCGTCGGGGTTTCCGACGCGAACATTTCAGGCGGCGCAGGATTTATTGTTCCAAACTCTTAATAGCGATGATAAGGATAATCCCGGCTCTCGATACATCCAGCCGCCTTAGCGCGTCGTCGGGACGTCCCAAAGTGCTCCGCAGGATATGCTGTAAAGTGTAGTGACTGTGAGTTTTTGTGGGCGAGACGCGGCGGCAGCCGATTGCGCACAGTCGTGGGTCGAGTGACCGAATTATTTTTATTTGTGAGAAAGGGTGGGGGTGGGGGGGGGGGGGGTGAGACCTGGTTGCTGGGATTAGTTTTAAATCCAGTGCAAAGCTATGGTGGATCGGAACTAATCTGGCGTAGAAATAAGCATTAAAAAGGGCGGAATTTTTTTTTTTTTTTGCACCTTCTGCGTGAAGTGCCCGCGACAGTCTCGGGGAGGATCAGGGAGCAAAGCAACCGAACGGCCGAGCAAATGATATTTACACAGCGCTGTTCGCGTCAGGAGGACGTCCCAAGGCGCTGGACGGTCAGGGAGCGGGCGGGGGTCGGGGGGGTCGGGGTGTGTGGTTGGTGGGGGGTAAGAGGGTGACCGGTCGAAGAGGAGACCGGTCTCGAAGAAGCAGATGGACAACAGCAGCAGAGGGCATTGTCTCTTTGAATGACCGTTAAAAAAAAAATTCACCCCTCGAACCCATAACTCGGAGCTACATTTCCGCCCAAGAGATTTTCATCAACTCCTTTGTTTATAAAACCTCAAATCCTTTCCGTCTTTATTTTCGTTCCCCTTCTTTCTCTCTCTCTGTCTCTCTCTCTCTCCGCAACAAGCCAACGTTTCATTGAAAAAGATTTTTTTTAAAAAAAAATGCCTCCCCCCCCCCCCACCCCCTCCCCCCCACCACTGCCCACTCCCCACACGCAGAGCCACACAATAAAATAAACACAATGGAGAGAGCGAGCGAGCGGTCGGTGGGTGGGTGGGTGGGGAGCGGAGGGGAGAGAAGAAGAAAGAGGGGAGAGAATGGGGTGAAGTTATACAAAATAGAAAAAATTGCATTTTTTTTTTGCGTTTAAAAAGTCTCCTCTCCTCTCTCTCGTTCCCTCTCTCTCTCTTTCTCTCTCTCTCTCTCTCTCTCTCTCTCTCTCTTTCTCCCCATCACTCACATAAAGTACTGGACTACACAGAGACCCACTGAGTGGAGATGATATTCCACAGAGCTGTAGGGAAATGAAGTCGGGTCCATTAAAAGTCCAACATCTGTTCCTTGCGTAACCTCTCGGCAAAAGGCGTTAAGATTTTCCTGACTGACTGCTGTGGATTTTTCCGACGGTGTTTTCTTAAGAGGCTGGACTCTGACCCTGGAATCTGATACCGAGACAGGAAAAGAGTTGCCTCACATTGGGGGAACCACCAGACCAGTCATGGCTGAAAGAGAGACAGAGAGAGAGAGAGGGGGAGAGAGAGCGAGAAAGATAAATAAATACACCCGACACCTATATCCTCATGTAGTGAGGGGGGGGGGGTAACTGCGGGGAGAAGGGGGGGTAACGAGGCAGGGGGAGGGGGTGGAAATGGCACGGTTTGTAGCGCTTGCTCGCCTTTGAGTCAGAACCCTGAGTCTTCGAGCCCTCACGTCAACAACGATGACAACAAGTTGCCTTTGATGTCGGGGGATTCAGACCCGAGCTGGGGGGGGGTGTGGGGTGGGGTGGGGTGGGGTGGTGGGGGGTTCGGGATCGGAAAGGGGCGGAGGGCCAGGGAGGGCAGGGAGGGTGGTCGGAGGCTCGGTCGAAGAGGAGGGTTTTGAGACGCGCCTTGAAGGGGGTAAGGGTGAGGGGGGGGTGGGGGGTTGGGGGGGGAGCGAAGTGACGGGAATGTCGGATGGAGTTCCATAAAGTGGGGCCAGAATTTGTCAGGTCAGCGTAATAAGGGATAGGGCCAAGGACTGGTAATTGGACTTGAGGTACAGATCAGCCATGATCAACGGAACAGGCTGGAGAGGGGCTGAATGGCCTCCTCCTGTTTCTATATTTCTTTCAAGTGGGGAGGACGCCTCAAGGCGCTGGACAATGAGGGGGGGGGGGTTTTTGCACCCGAGCGGGTGATGACTGAAGGCACGGACGGTCGAAGGGGACTTTGCAAAACCCTGTGAACCGCTTTGAGAGGTCCTCCTCTGGATCACAGGTTTACCAAACCCTGAGCGGGTCCTTAAACGTGTACGTGTCAATATATTTCCCAATGCAATGCCCCCTCCCCTCCCCTCCACAGACACACACACACACGCACACGCACACACATGCACGCACACACCACATAAATACTGAGGCGCCAGCGATATAACTCTGGCAAAGAGCCAACAGTCATGGCCTGTGTGATGACAGAGACATGGTTCGTGGAGTCCTGTAGCTCAAAGGGGTTCGAGCCCTTCGCCTCGCAATCGAGAGGACCTGGATTCGATTCCCGGGCGGGTCGGGTCGGGTCAGGGCGAAACCTTGGGCAAGTTTCCTTACTCCACACGCAGACACACGCGCGCACACGCACCCACACGCGCGCGCACACACACGCCTCTGTTTACCTAGCAGTAAGTAGGAACCCGGTTGTTAGTCGATTGGCGGATCAAATTGGCTTGTTCGGGGGTAATAATCCCTTTAAAAAAAAAATAATAATAAATCGGTCACTTCAATCCACGGCCGTTTGTGGGGACGTCGCGGTGCGCAATTGGCTGCCGTGTTCCGCACGGAAAATACACAGTCAATTCGGTTGCCGGACCGCCTGAAAGCACGTCCGACGATGGTTTAACCGGAGATTGGGGTGGGGGGGGGGTGGGGGCGGGGTGGGTGGTGGGGTCAGACGCAGGAAAGGGGACGGAGAATAGAGAGAATAGGGGGAGTTAACCAACCTCCGACCCCCAATGGGTCACACGTTGGCTGATAACCATCAGTGTTAAGCAGTACAGAACATCTTACACGTCAAGCGCGGAGGGAGGAGGGAGGGAAGGAGGAGGGAGGGAGGGAGGGAGGAGGGAGGGAGGGAGTTGAACTTTAACTCTCACTTCTAACTGTTGCCTCTCTTTTTGCTCTACGCTGAACAGATTGCTGGGGGGGGGATGCGAGAGAGGCTGAGCCCCAGACACGCGCGCACGCTCTGGCAGTCGGTCGCAGGGGATGGGGGGTGGGGTGGGGGGTGGGGGGTGGGGAGGGTGGTGGGGTGGGGAGGGTGGTGGGGGTGGGGGGGTCATATACATTTAACACAACGACGTGCAGATTTCTTTTTTTTTTGCTCACCATTTACACTCTCAGTCTGTGCGTATGTGTGTTGGTGTTGGTGTATGTGGGGGTGGGTGTGTGTGTGTGTTGGTTGGTGTTTGGGGGTTGATGAGTGTGTGGGGGGGGGGTTAGTGTGTGTGTGTGTGGGGGGGGGGGAGCGTGGTGGGGTGGGGGTGGGCTGGGGATCGTAAACGTGTCCTCACCTCGGAATCCGCTGCTGTTGCCCCCGGGGCAGGTGGGGGAGGGGGTGCGCTGGGGACGGATGACCGGGGCAAATGCACTCCTCTGCTTCACGGAGGGGAAAGCCGCAGAGGAGAACGGCAACACTGAGCACGGGCTGGAGGAGACCGGGACCGCCGAGGCCACAGTGGGGCTGGAGGGCATGACTGCGAGAGAGTGGGGTTGGGGAGGGGGGTAGTGGTGGCAGGGTGAGGGGTGAGAGGGGGCAGAGAGAGGAGGGAAAGGTGGAGGGGGGAAAATGGGGCATAGGGACCGAGGTGAAGAGAGAGGGTGGGGAGGAGGAGGTAATGGGGGAGAGAGACCGGGGAGAAAGAGAGAGGGGGAGGGGTTCAGTGGGGTAATTGGGAGAGAGTGTGGGAGAGAGAGAGAGGAGGGAATTGGGGTGGGGGGGTGCGGGATAATGGGGCATAGAGACCAGGAGGGAAGCAAGAGGGGGGCAATGATGGAGAGAGAGGCCATTGGGCGGGCGGGGGGGGGGAGAGAGAGCGGTGGGAGAATGGGGGAGGGATTGAGAATGGGGCATAGAGACCGATGGGGTGAAAAGAGAGGGATAATGGGGAGAGAGAGAGTGGGAGAGAGGAGGGCATTGGGGGTGGGGGTGGGGAGCGAGATGGGGGTAATAGGGGAAAGGAGGGAATGGGGGAGAGAGAGGGGGGTGGGGGGGGGGTAAGAGAAAGGGGGAAGGTGGGGAGAAGCGATCAGAAAGGGAAAGAAAACAAAAACAAAAACAAACATAAATTAGAGACGAGCAAGAGCCGGGCGTCCGACACATCCGTGTCCTGTATGCGTGTACGCGTCTGTACGTCTGTGTCTGAGTGTGCGTGTGTGCACGCCTGTAGTGCGTGTGCGCGTGTGTGGATGCGTGCGTGTTATGTATGTACGTGCGTGCGCGCGTGTGTGCGTGTGCGTGTTTCTGTACACGTGTGCGTGCGTGTTTCTGTACACGTGTGCGTGCGTTCACATTGGTTTGCCGTCTCAAGACCATACCACACCGTCTATTCCGTGAGGCGCCTTGAGACGTCTCGGAGGGGCGATGAGAGGCGCTGTGTCGAGTGCGAGGATTATTATTATGTTTAACGGCTATTATTACTGTGATTGCTATCACTATTATTGCTGTCGCTATTATGATTGCTAGCGTTATTAATAGAGACTCACTGGCGTAGGGTGAACTGGCGGGCGAGGTGTTGAGGTAGCCGGGCGAGCCTGGCACACCCAGATTGGACATGCCCACGTTGCTGTAGCCGCTCAGGTTGCCCCCGACCCCGCTGTAGCCTCCCTGCTGGGGGGAGTGTGTGGCTCCATACCCTCGGGGGGACAGGCTGGTGCTGTTGTGGATGTAACCTACCGCAGACACACACACAAACGCGCCCGCGCGCCCGTCAGTTGTCAGAAAAACAGTCACTACACCCCGCGCTAAAACCGTGCAGTAAGTGCCTGATAACTGAACCGTGGCTTAACTTGCCCCTGACCTCACTCCCCCCACTCTTTCCCCATAACCCCTTACACACTTACCCCTTATCCCCCTTCCCTGCTCTCTTGCCCCATACCCTTACCCTGTTCACCCCCGCTCTTGCCCCTTAACCCTCCCCCTCTTTCCCCATACCCTTACCCCTTTACCCCCTGCTCTTGCCTCTTCCCACTTTACAGTGGCTCTTACCCCTTACCCTGGATCTGGCCCCTTACCTTCTGAGCTCTTGCCCCTTACTCTGGCTGTGGCCCCTTCCCTACGTGGCTGTGGCCCCTTCCCCCCCTGGCTGTGGCCCCTTCCCCCCCTGGCTGTGGCCCCTTACCGCCTGGCTCTCGCCCCTTACCCTGGCCGTTGCCCTGTTGCTCTGAGATGCTGACCCCCAGCTGGTTGCTGTAGGAGTTCATTCTCATCATGGTGCTGTGACTGCCCGGGCTGGGCAGGGCTGGGTGTTGGCCAGCGTTGCGTGGGACACTGTACAAGGCCTCAGCAATGTCCACTGCTCTCTTCAGGATGATCTCCTGTGGAATCACGCACCCGCACATGCACACGCAGAGACACGCACACACACACGCGCACGGTTGCACACAGACACACGTGCGAACACGGGCACACGTGCATCCACACACACACGGATGCACACACGCAGAGAAACAGACACACACACACCCGCACACACACACACACACGCGCACAGACACCCAAGCACACAAATTGAGAAGTTTAGGAGTTGCCAACTCTCCCCTGCCCTCTCCTCACCCATCCCTCGGCACGTCCGCCAACAGATACGCAGTCACTACACTCCGCGGTGAAAGCCCTCGTACCTGGTTATTGGGTGGTCCTCCATACAGAGCTTCCACAAGATCTGCCGCTCTTTTCAACAGCATCTCCTGAGGAGAGCACAACAGGCGGAGAGAGAGAGAGAGAGAGACGTAAATTGAGACCTGGGGCAAGCCAGTCACGGGGGGGTGGGGGGGGGGGTAACAATGTTATGGGGTAGGGGTGGGAGAGTGGGCAAAGGCGGGTCAGCGGGTCACAGAGGAAGGGGCGAGGCCGTCTGCAGCGCGAAGCTCACACCAACCTTGGCCAGTCTCTCTGGGTCTCCCGGGTGCCGAGGGATAACTTTCTGCAGCCTCTGGAATCCATAGTCTATCGTGGGTTCATTCAGAGCTGCGGAGGCAAAGAGGGCAATCGAACAAATAACGACGACGCATGGCGCACGCTGCGTCCGTCTCCGCTGTGCGAGCGCGTGTCGCTGTGCGAGTGCGTTGGTCACCGTTTGGAGTCACCGTGGCTCAGCGGTTAGAGCCCTCTCGCCTCGCAAGCGAGAGGGACCCGGGGTTGGCTCGGTACCCGGGGCGGCTCAGGTCCGGGCGAAATGCGGGGCAAGTTTCCTTACTCCCTCCACACACACGCGCGCGCGCGCGGATGGAGCGCGAGGACGATAACTAACATTATGATAGTTTTAACAAAGGGCGAGAGGAATATTTTCAGCGAGGGCGGTTGAATAATTCACCGCGGTGCAGGAGGGAGCACCACTGGCGATTTACATCAGCGTGCGCAGAGCGAGCGCTGAGGAGTGGGCGGTGATGAAAGCCTCCCCTGGCAATGCCGGGGAGGGAGGGGAGGGAGGGGAGGGAGGGAGTTTAGTGCTGTTCTGTTTGTGCAGACAGACGTCCCAATAAATTACAGCCTCAGCTCTCTACAGCTCACAGATGGAGCAAAGCAGCACAGTGAGAATCCGGGCTCCAGTGGGAAATTAGAGAGATTGATTTCACGGAACTGTAGGTTAACCCTTTTCTGAGACGAGCTTGGCGGTGGGGGCGGTGAGGGAGTGGGGCTGGCGCGGGGAGAGAGAGAAGCTGCAGTCAGTTGCTGACTGTGGGAAGCGCAGGAGGAATCTTTTGGAAGGAAACTCAAGCCAACTCGACGCACTGAGATCCCATGTATCTGGTTCTTGACCCAAGGGTTTCAAGGGTTTGGTTTTGACTGACCAACGCCTGACCTGGGAGTGTGGACGCACAGTGTGGAGGAGCTTTACTGTGTCTCTAACCCTGACCCGGGATTGTGGACGCACAGTGTAGAGGAGCTTTGCTGTGTCTCTCACCCTGACCTGGAGTGTGGACGCACAGTGTAGAGGAGCTTTGCTGAGTCTCTAACCCTGACCTGGGAGTGTGGACGCACAGTGTAGAGGAGCTTTACTGTGTCTCTAACCTGCGTTGTTGCTGACCTGGGAGCATTGCTGACAATGACTGGGTCAATATAGTTCTCACAGATTAATTGATGCCCCCGTTTCTTTTGGCCAAAGAGTGTATTGGTTTGTCAGCAACTGCCTCGCTGGGAGGAAGCACTTAGGGCCTGAAGAATGGCTTTTCGATAGCTCAAACCTCACCACCGGCTCATCAGCCCATAATATTATTCTCTCCCGGATGCAGGTGTGGATTGCACGATCAATAAAGGGCAGCCGACACTTCCTCTCTGCTTAACGCCTGGAATTAATAACCCTTGTGTTTGACATGGCGCCTTATCAAATATGGTTGCCTTATTGGGGGTATTTGCGTCCACAAGACACGCAGTCAATTCACGTGAAGCTCTTTGACACGTCTCGAAGACCGTGAATTGACTGCACACTTTGTGGGCGAAACGCGGTCAGACAATTTGGCTCAGCGGCGTCCCAACAAACAGCGGTGGGTTGAGTGGCCAATTTTTTTTTTTTTAAATTTGTTTTTGTAAAGGGATTAATATCCCGGAGAAGCCATCCGCCAATCGGCGAACTGGGAACACCGGTGGGGGGGTGGGGGAGGGTTGAAACCCCCCCCTTTCATTCCCGCAGCCTCCTCAGAGAGGTTTCGGAGCCTCCGCTCCTATTTGCGTTGAGTTTTTATTTAACAATTAGGGAATGGCATGAAGTTAAATATCTGACAAGACGACTCGTCCCACCGGGGGAAGCTGGGCTGGTCTGAGATCAACCCCCACCATGAATGTAGTCAACACTAAACTTAGTGAGGTTTAATCCCCCGGAGGGAATGCGGAGGTTTGCTTCAAGCGTTTAATAATGCAAATTTCGACTGGAAGAGACTGTGCTAATCCATACAGGATCAGCCTCGAGAAAGGCTCGCAAGAGCCCTGAGACTTAGATTCATTCCCTCGGAGAGAGTGCGGCTTTTCCTGTTTCCTTTGACGCATTTCTCTCTCTCCCTTTCACTCACTCACTCGCTCGCTCACTCACTCACTCACTCACTTACTCGCTCACTCGCTCGCTCACTCACTCACTCACTCACTCGCTCGCTCGCTCGCTCGCTCACTCACTCACTCACTCACTCGCTCGCTCGCTCGCTCGCTCACTCACTCAATCCTTTCACTCCCCTCTCTCTCCCTGGCTCTTTGTGTCTCTCTCCATCTCTCTTTCTCGACGCTCGTCTCTCTCTCTCTCTCTCTCTCGCTCTCTCTCTCTCTCTCTCCCTCCGCTCGCGCACACTTTACGTCTATTTGATAATAAGAATAATCCTTGCATTTAGTTGCGCACGGCGGCGTCCCACACGCAGCCGACAAATTTTATTCGAGGGATTTTTCGGCCAGGACACCAGGAGCGAGAGAGAGAGAGAGAGAGAGAGAGAGAGAGAGTCATCGCGGGAGAGACCTTTAACGTCCACCCGAACAGGCAGACGGGGAGAGAGAGAGTCAGGTTTTTAACGTCTGAACCAAAAGGACGAATGAACGACAGTGGAAATAAAGCAAATGGCTTCGAACGCGACCAGAATCTCATCTCACCGGTGTAGATGAACCTCCCCGGGGCACCTTTGCAGAACTGTTTGGATTTGTAGGACAGAGTGACTTCCACCACTCCCGGGATGTGTCGCGGAGGAGTCTGCACTCGGATAGCGTGAGGAGTGATCAGCTGAAAAACAACAATAGTAATTATTATATAATCCTGAGAGCGACAGGACCCGGGTTTCGACTCACGGGCGGGTCGGGTCAGGGCGAAATGTTGGACAAGTTTCCTTACTCCACACACACACACACACACACACACGCACACGCGCGCGCCTCTGGTTACCAGCAGTCAGTAGGAACCCGGTTGTTAGTCAATTGGCGGACGGCTTTTCCGGGGGTAATACTACTAATAATAAAAATAATAACTTTGGCTCGAATCATAGCCCTTTGACGTGTCTCCACGATGTGTTGAGGAGCTGCAACGGGAACGCAAGAGCTACCACAACAATAGCAATCATTGCCGTTTGATACAGCGCCTTATCGAGACGTCTCAAAGCGCTTCGTGGAATACCCCGTGAAGCGGCCCCGCGACGGTGCATTTGTGGGCGAAGTACCGCCAGTTGCGCCTATAATAATAATAATAATCCTTGCATTTGATATAGCGCTTTTCACGTCGGGAGGACGTCCCAAAGCGCTTCACAGAACACACTGTAAAGTGAATTGACTGTATATTTGTGGGCGAACGCGGCAGCCAATTGCGCACAGCAATGTCCCACAAACAGTCGTAGATTGAAAATGACCAATTTATTATTGTTTTTTTTTGGAGGGATTATTATTAGGCTCTAAATATGGAAATAAGCCTAAATTAGGAAACGCGGCCTGAGGTTTCTTCCTGCTTGGCCGGGAATCGAACCCAGGCTTGCGAGGCGAGCGCTCTCTCTCCACCACTGCGCTCCGCAAGTTGAGAGCCAGGGTGGGTGGGGCGGTGGGAGAAAGGGACAGACTCACCTCGCTCCACACCAGCATGGTGCCAAAGAGGACCTGCAGCCCGTCAAAGAAGTTATCCCCGATGATGATCACCATGGCTCCTCCGGTTGTCCAACCCTCGCTCGGACTGACTGCTTTGATGGAAGGTGTCGCTGACGGTTTCAAAAAAGGACACGGTATCGTCACGACAGACTAAACTAACCCAACGCAGCCCCCCCCCCCCCCACACACGCCCCTCGCACAAAAAAAACCCACCAGCTCCACGGTTTCAGATTTTTCGGGCGCCCCAAAAAACCTGCCCCTTGCAAAACTCACAGTCACTACACTTCCAAGTGAGAGAGAGAGAGAGAGAGAGAGAGGTAGGGGTTTTTCCCAGTCGGTCGGTTGGTCGGTCCTGACCGACGCTCCGTTCCCCCTCCCCCCCCCCCCGTCCCCCCGTCCCCCCAACCTTGGGATGTCCTCCCGACGTGAAAGGCGCTGTCTATAATGTGATGTTGTCTCGTATTGTGTCTGTGTGTGTATCGAAGAGGGTTAGACGGTGGGGGGTTAGTGAGCGAGCAATGAGGGGAGGGGAAGGGAGGGGGGGGATTTGAGGAAGGGATCTGGGAGAAGTGGAGGGGAGCTGCGGGGGTGGGGGGCGCGGAGGGGGCGGGGGGGGGGAGGGCAGAGGAAGCCTGGCTTTGAGTCTGATGATTTCTCACTCTGTCGGAGGATATACGGTTTCCAAAGCTACATCCAAACTCAACTCAATCCATCACGTCACAGCCCCAGTGCTGACAGGGTCAGGGGGGGTCGGGCTGACGGTTATAGCAGGAGGCCAGGGCTTTGCCGAGCTCTGTCTCCGCGGGTATCAATCACTGTCAATCAGCCGTGTGCCTCTGTGGGTGCGTGTGTGTCTGCGTGTGGGGTGTGAGTGTGTGTCCGTCCGTGCGTGAGCGCGTGAGCGGTGTGCGTCAGTATGTGTGTGTGGTATGTACCTCAATATGTGTGTATCGTGTGTGTGTGTGTGTGTGTGTGTGCGGGTTGTGTATATGTGTGTAGTGTATGTGTGTGTATCTGGAGTGTGCGTGTCCGTGCGTGCATGTGTGTGCGGTGTGTCTCTGTGTGTGCGCGCGCGCGTGTCCTCGTGCGCGTGCGCGTTTAGTGTGTGCGTCCGTGCATGTGGGTTCACGCACGTGTGTGTGTGTGTGTGTGTGTGTGTGCACGCGCGGCTTGCGGAGGGAGGGAGGGAGGGAGTGTTACCTTCCGTGGGGTCTAGCCGTCGTGCCCTCCGTCCGTGTTTGGAGTTGTTGTGCACAAACATATTGTCCGAGACAGCAAGTACGTGTCCATCCACGTTCATGGTCGTGGAGAGAACAACCTGCGGAGAAGAGGAGGCAGAGACAATAATAATAATAATAATAATAATAATAATAATACTACTACTAATAATAATAATCCTCACATTTGATACAGCGCCTTATCTCGTCTTCGAGATGTCTCAAAGGGCTTCGCAGAAGAGACTTGAAAGCGAATTGACCGTGTGATTTGTGGGCGAAGCGCGGCAGCCGATTGCGCACGGCGGCGTCCGCCACAACCAGCCGTGGATCGAGCCACCAAATTATTATTATTATTATTACCTTTTTCGAGGGGAATTATCATCCCCGGGAAAGCGATCGGCCAATCGACTGGAATGCTGACTGCTGGTAAACAAAGGTGCGCGTGTGCGTGTGCGCGTGCGCGTGTGCGTGTGGAGTAAGGAAACTCGCCCCAAAGTTTCGCCCTGACCTGACCCGCCCGGGAATCGAACCCGGGTCCTCTTCTCCCCCCCCCCCCCCCACCCCCACCGAGCGATCAAACCACTGAGCTCCAGGGTCTTCGGGTGAACGTGGTCAACATTGCTAAGTGTATCTCTGTGTCGATGTCGGGGTCAGCAGAGTGACCTTCCCATATGGAGAGCATCAGTCACCTCCTGACAACTTCCTCAACTGTCTCCTTCCCCTTCCGCTATTCCCGGTCCGTTCAGTCACCAGCAGACGAGACGCGCTCGTGGGGGTGGGGGTCGAGGCTGGGGGGGGGGTGGGGGGGGGGGGAATGGGGGGTTATGTGAACGACACACAACCAACGATCGCACACGTCTCAAAGCGCTTCACGGGATAGAACGTCGAGTGGGTTTTGTGGGCGAAATTGCGCGGCAGCCAATCGCGCACAGCGGTGTCCCCGCAGGAAGAATAAACAGTCGTGGATTGAGCGACCAAATTATTATTATTATTATTATTATTATTATTTTTTTCGGTGGCTGAAGGCAGAGCGGAGGGAATGAGGGAGGGACGAACGGGCGGCTGGAGAGAGGGCGCGGGTGGTGGGGGCGGTGGGGGTGGTACGCAGATCGGAGAGGGAGGGAGTTTCGAGGGAATGAAGGGGTTTGAAAACGAGAGAGAGAGAGAGAGAGAGAGGATCTGGAGATCGAAACCTCCCCCTTCTTTTCCTCCTTCTCCCCTCCCCCCAAAGCCAAGGCCGGGAATTTCCTCCCAGAAATCCTACCTGGAATCTCCGCATATCTCGAGGGTTCCCTGCGGTTTTTAAGCAGTTCTGGTTGCACTTGAGGAAGAACTTCAGGAAGAACCTGGGAAATGGGAAGGGGAGGGGGTTGGGGGGTGTGTGGGGGGGGTGGCGGGGGGTGCGGGCGGGAAAACACACACGAGGAAAAAAAAAAACAGGACCATAAGAATCCTTGCATTTGACACAGCGCCTTATCACGTCTACGAGGCGTCTCGCGGGATCCACTGTAAAGCGTAGTGACTGTACATTTCGCGGGCGAAACGCGGCAGCCAATTGCGCACAGCAGCGTCCACCGCAAACAGCCGTGGGGTTGAGCGACTGATTTCTTTTTGGAAGGGGTTATTACCCCCGGAAAAGCGATCCGCCGATGGTAAACAGAGGCGCGTGTGTGTGTGTGTGCGCGCGTGTGTGCGTGTGTGTGCGCGCGTGTGCGTGTGTGTGCGTGTGTGCGTGTGTGTGCGTGTGCGGAGTAAGGAAACTTGCCCAAGGTTTCGCCCTGACCTGACCCGCCCGGGAATCGGACCTCTCGCTTGCGAGGCGAGGGCTCCGACCCCTGAGCTACAGGGACTCCCAACTCTCTCGGGTTAGAACCTGAGCTCTGGAATTCTGACCGGTTTTGACTCGGAGTCCCTTCGGATGAGACGTCGAATCGAGTTCCCCTTCTGCCGGTTCACAGGCGAACCGTAAAGAAGGTTTGGCGCAAGAATTTGACTGGTACTTGAAGAGGAAAAACAAGGGAAGGGTATGGAGGGGAGAGTCGGGCAGTGGGACTGATTGGGCGGCTCTTCCAAAGCACTGGCACAGCCACGATGGGCCGAATGGCCTCCTTCTGCGCTGTAATATTCCACAATTCTACCCTACGCTTCGCGGTGTATCCCGTGAAGCGCTTTGAGACATGAAAGGCGCTGAGCCTCATGCAACAAATGACATCGATGTATTGCCTTTCAAGTCACAAAGCACGTCCCAAGGATTATTATTGTTGTTGTTAATAGCGCGGGGTGGGGGGGGAGTTGGGGGGGGGGGTGGGGGGCAAATAGGAAGACGAGGAGCAGAATCATTCTCTTTAAATAACGCTCCAATTCAGACAAAATAATAATAATCATAATCTTAGGTTTGATACCACGTCTTCGAGACCTCTCAAAGGATATACTGTAAAGTGTAGTGACTGTGACTGACTGCGAAACACGGCAGCCAATTGCGCACAGCAGCGTTCCCCCACAAGCAGTCGTGGAGTGAGCGATCAGATTATTATTATTATTATCTTTAATTCGTTTTTTGGAGGGATTTATTGCCCCCGGAAAAGGGATCTACCAATCGACGGACAACCGGGTTCCTAATGGCTGCTGGTAAACAGAGGCGTGTGCGTGTGTGTGTGCGTGTGTGTGTGTGTGTGTGTGGGGGGAGTAAGGAAACTCGCCCGATGTTTCGCCCTGACCTGACCCGCCCGGGAATCGAACCCCGGGTCCTCTTCGCTTGCGAGACCAGCGCTCTAACCGCCGAGAGCCACAGGTCAACAAGACCAGCGACAAGGGTTAAACGGCGGCGATTTGGTGCGGAGGGTCCGATCGAAGGGAAGGAGGGAGGGAGGGAGTGAGAGAGAGAGAGCTGACAATCCTCGCTCTCAATAACCCCCCCCATCCCGACCACCACCACCCCTCCCATCTCCCTCTCCCTCCCTCTCTCTCGTTTTCTCTCGCTCTCTCTCTCTCTCTCTCTCTCTCTCTCTTTCTCTGCAGCAGCGCAAAAAAAAAAAAAAGCCTCTCTAAAAAGTAGCAGATGTGTTCGCGCTGACGGCCTGAGGTCCCAGGTGAGATGAAACGAGGTTCTTTCTGATTCCAGTTGCTATAGCAGCCGGATTTTTGTAGCCGTGGTCCCACGACGCTCAAGAGAGCACCGCCTGCTCTCTCCGCTCTCCTTCGCAGGCTGACGGGGAAGGGAGGGAGGGAGGGAGGGAGGAGAGGGAGGGAGGGAGGGAGAGGCAGGCGAACAGGCAGGACAAGCAGGCAACAACCACAACAACACCACCGCCAACAACAACTTGCCCCTCCACTCCACTCCGAACCCGACCTTCCACTGGGTCAGGGCTGATTTCAAGGGGATACAGAGCACCTCACGCGCAGTCGGTAACTGGGAAGTGAAGTGACTGCGATGGAGGCGTAATTGTTGGTGCAGCAAACCCCCCCCCCCACCCCCCACCCCCACACACACACACACACACCCCCTCCCTGCCCTCGACCCACAAACAGCCGCGAAGCGAGTGCGTGATGTTATCTGGGGCGGTGGGGCGTGGGGCGGGAGAGGGAGAGGGGGGGGAGAGGGGATTGTTGGTCCCCCCACCACCCTCCTCACTACCCCCCCCCCCTCCCCACCCACCCACCACCGACCAACCGCCGACCCACCCACGCGCGGACAGCGTCACGTACTCGTTCCGTGGCTGTTTGCGGTTCGTCGGCTGCCGTGGTTCGCCGAAAAAAGGACTGGGTGTCGGCCTGGCTGTGAGTCAGAAGGTCTGGGGGTTCAAGCCCCCCCCCCCCACCCACCCACAACCCACCCCCCCACCCCCAATCCACCCATCGAGGAGAACACACAACATACTGTGGGCTCGACTGCACTTGAGCTGCAGTTGCCCACAGTGTCCACACGGTGTCGCCCGCCCGGTCCTGCGAGAGCTTCCCCAACTTTTGGTGACTTTCAAAGTTTTTTCGGAAAATAGTGATAATTAACAATAACAATTGAGACCTCATCAGCTCTTCGCGACGCCTCGAAGCGCTTCGCGCCGTACACCGCAAAGTGTAGTGACTGCGGGCGAAACCCGGCGGCCGATCGCCCGCAGCAGCAGCAGCAGCGTTCCCCGCAAACAGTCGCGGATCGAGCGACCCAAATTATTCTTTTTTTTTTTAGATTTTTTTTCTTTTTGAGGGGTTATTGCCCCCCCCCGGGAAAGCGATCCTCCAACGCGCGTGCGTGTGCGTGTGTTGGAGTAAGGTGCCCAACCTTTCGCCCGGGGAACCGAACCCGGGTCCTCTCGCTTGCGAGGCGAACGCTCTAACCGCTGACCTACGGGACTCCGAGATCTTTAACGTCCGCCCGAACCGGGGGGAGGTGGTGGGGGGGGAGAGTTGGGGTGAGGTGGGGGGGGGGGGGGGGGGCCGGTGCGAGTTTGGTTTTATCCAAAGGACCACACTTCTGTCGAAGCACCGCCGTTAAACCAAAGGCTCCCCTCCCCGCTATCTGAGCTCTGCAGGTCTATCCCTTTGCTAACAAACACTCGCCATCATCAGCAAGTTAATTAAAAGCGTTCTCTCGTTCTTTTGTGTCTCGCTCCCCACTCAGCCCTCCCATCCCCCCCCCCCCCCCGGCTCCGCCAACTGATGTTCCACAGACGAACCTGAGAGACTTACGCAATTCTCTTCAATATTAAAGATAACTTGATGCAATCTGATGGACTATATATATATATATATCTGCGGTTGTATTTTTTTTGTTGGGGATGTCTCAGAAGGCAGAGGGCCCTAGTTTTATATTCAAATTAAATTCCGACACAATTATTAGGACGAGGCTGGGCCGCGAAGAATCCAAGATTCTCTTTTTTTTTTGTAATTGCAAAGGCAGGTTCTCTCGCAAAGGAAACCCCACTGAGAGTTCATTATCCTGAGCGAAGTTCTCTCGCTCGTTCTCCAACAATAATACTCCTCGCAATGCGCTCCGGTGCCTGGTCAGGTCTTCTTCGCTCCTTTAAAACGCTGCGCCGCAGAACGCGCTGCTGTACGTTGCGGGCGAAACGCGGCAGCCAAAGTACACAGTCACTCCACTTGACGGCGTATAAATATACATGCGTGTGAACGCGAGGTGTTGTTGGCTCGAGGACAAAGGCGCGGTCGAAGAGAAAGGTCTTTAGAGGAGGCAAGAGAAGGGGGTGAGGTGGTGGG